TAATCCTCCAACATAATTGGTATATTCAATTATTTCTTACTTATTAAGAAATTCGAGCTTTTCAATGGTTGTTGTAATGTTGAATGAACCTTATGAAGTTGGTGTGAACGGCAGGGGAAAAAACATTCTCTAAAAAATCAAGATCAAGAATGTATTTCAGTGCTGTGATGGACACTAGAAACGAAACTGAATTGCTTCCTGATGACAAACATCCACCTGGATAACTTTACTTTAAGCGTTTTTATTTTTATTTTTTTTACATTTAAATTTAGTTAAATTATTTCAGGTGTCAGATGAGGTTAACAAGGTAATAGGAGAAAAGAAGAAACTCTGGAAAGAAAACCTCGAGCACAAAACACCGGAGAACTTTGAAAAGTACAAGCAGAAAAGGATTGAGGCCAAACATTAAGTTATAGAGGCCAAGAGGACAACCTGGGCAGATTTTGGAAGAAAATTGGAATCGGATTTCTACCAAAATCAAAAGTTATTTTACCGAGTCCTCAAGGGATTAAGAAAGGAAAGAGCGCCAACCCTGAAATTTGTCAAAGACAAGGAAGGAAGCATTCTCAGGCAGAATGATGAGATAATGGAAAGGTGGAGGGAATACATCCAAAATCTGTTAAATGAAAATGTACAGACACCCTGTGTAGATGAAGGGACAAGAGAAGTAGGTCCATGGGAAGAGGACGACTTTATTGGCGATGACGAATTAGAAGAAGGGATCTGGAGTATGAAGCTAGGGAAATCCGCAGGCAGTGATGGTGTAACTCCTGAAATGCTAAAATACATGGGACCGAAAGGAAAAGAAGTCTTGCTGCATCTGCTAAACTTAGTGTGGAAGCAGAAAAAAAAATCCGCAGGATTGGGAAGTGGCCATCATCGTCCCTATTTTTAAGAAAGGAGATAACAGAGATTTCTGTTGAGCGTACCAAGTAAGATTTACTCTAAGATCTTGGAAAAAAGAAAAAGAAAAAGAATCGAAGGATTACTTGAAGAAGAACAATACGGATTTCGAGAAAATCGTAGCACCCAGGATCTTATCTTTACCATGCAACAAGTTTTTGAAAAAGTATTGGAGAAAGAAAAGGAAATGTCGGTATGCTTTGTTGATCTTACAAAGGCCTTCGATCGGGTAAAAAAGTCTGATATCTCGGAGGCCTTGAGAAAAAAAGGGATTGATCAAGGTCATGTCCTGGTGGTTGAGAGTCTCTACAAGAAAACAAGAAACATAGTAAGATTTGCCAACTGCACTTCACAGGAAATCAGGACAACAATTGGAATCAGGCAAGGTTGTAAGTCATAGTATACTTTTCTTTATTCAAGTGATGGACTCAGCAATACGAAGAGCTAAAGGAAAAATGCGGAAATTTCAGCTGGGATATGCCAACCTGAGATCGGTGAGCCTCTCAATACTTGCATTCGTTGATGACGTATTATTTTTTTTCGGACAGTGACAGGAATCTTCAGTACAATATTAATAAATCGAAAGAAGAATTGCAGAAGATTAATATGATTATCAACCCTGTAAAAACGAAAGTAATAAGGGTTGGGAAGAAGCCTAGGAGAAATACGCGCGTCATCAGAGTCGAAGACAAAATCCTCGAGCAGGTAGAAAACTTCAAATACTTGGGCGCACACCTTAATGAAAATGGATACATCGATTCAGAGGTGACTGAGCTAATCGCTGCTGCGAGCAGGATGTTTGAGGCAGTAAAGAAAGATTTTCTAAATAGGCGCTAGGTGGAAAAGAAAACAAAAGTAGCTGTTTTCAGATCGACATTTCTTTCTCCCATTTTAACGTACTCTTCAGAATCATGGACGCTGACAAAGAAACATCGATCAAGGATACAAGCGTCATAAATGCGATTCCTACGAAAGATTGAAGGAAAGCGAGAAGAGATAGAGTACGCAACACCACCATCAGGATGAACCTCAATATTAAGCCGGCCGCCAATGATGTGATTGAGGAGAATCGACTGAGATGGCTAGGACATCTTCTGCGGATGGAACCAAACAGAATAGCTAGCGAAACCTATCGATCTAAAGTAGACGGCAAGAGAGGAAGAGGACGGCCTAGAAGGAACTGGGAAGATGAGGTAAACAGCAATTTTCAAAGAAGAGATCTTCAATGCAACGATAGAGAGCGTCTTGTTGAAGACCGGCAGAGCTGGAGAAGGCTCTATAAACTTCCTCCTCACACTGCTTAATGCGGTTCAAGAGCATGGATTATGATAATGATGATAACATAGTCAGCAGAGGTGCCCAGAAGGGGTTTCTTGGCAATTTGCATAACCAAAATTTTTGAAGGGGCATATTTTGAGTTTTTGAGGGGGTAAATTTCGACGGAGTTATGAATTTTCGGACTAAGGCCAAGGGGAAAAACATGGAGCATATCACAGCAAGGGTAATTTTATATGATCAACGATTTTTTTTTTTTAATGTTATCTACCTATGATAAAGTATTGTTGTGCTTCACAGTGTTTTGTATTTTTCAAATTTATTCTGTTAGTTTTGTTCTATCGTTTCCTACTGTTTGTGTTATTTTAGTGTTTTATAGTTTTTTACTTTCACTTACGTATATATGTAATATACAGTAAGTGTAAGTATTGCGATCGAGAAATATTTTGGATCTGAGTGTTCGACGGATTAATACGTTTTGAGGTATAATGAGTCGAAAAGACCAAGTACCGATAAATGGTCTGTGTGTCTGTGTTTTTCTATTTTAGCAGTCTAGCTCAAAAACGAAAAGTCTTATGAAACTGATATCAGATATTTAAGATAGGTATATGCCTTAGTTGTGACGGCAACTTTTTCCTTAAAATCGGCTAACCGGAAGTGCCACTTCATATGAACGCTGAAACATATTTTCACAGTTTTCTCAAAAACGGCTCTAACGATTTTGATTAAACTCGGTGTATCATTGTATAATTAAGTGGTCTTTAATATAAATTAGGTCTTATCCCCATTGATGTCACTTTACAGGGCTTAAATGCCCAATGTTCATATACGTCTTCCTCTAAAGTACCTTTAATATGGTTTATTTTAAAAAGATAATTATTTCGCATTATTCAGAGTTACGAAAAAATGCTAAATATAACTTTTGAAAGAATTTGATAAGTTAATAAAGGAGAAAAAATAAATAAAAATGCAGAAAAACGTAGCTATAGACTGTAGCGCCTAAACGAATGAACCGATTTCATTGAAACTTCGCTAAAGTCATTTTCTCGACACCCTTCAAATTTATCTATATAACATTCATCAGCGAAAAGAAGCTGAAAAAAAGTTACGAGGGATGGTAAAATTAAATTCCGAATAACTCAAAAAGTATACACTTTTTTGGGAATGTTTTATGGTTTTCTAAAAGTTTATGGAATAGCCTAAAAAACAAAAAAAAAAATCGTTAAAATCCGATAATTAGGAGATAAGATATGGTCTCTAGTTTTTTTTTAATACGTTCTGCTGCAATGGTTATATCGTTTGTTTCGGTTTTCGAATTTGGAATGTGTTCATAAGGTAATGCTAATTTTTTTTAAATGTATTTAAAATCCACCTAAGCAACTTGATGACATTGTTAAAAAAACTATTTCAGTGTACTTGTGTGAAAGAAGAAATAAAATATAAAATCATTTCATGGATGTATAAATCATGTGTTTTTAATATTAAATACATTTACTGTAGTTTAGTAATTAGTTATTAAATTTTAAATTGTTCCATAATCGTCTTATCTTTTTGGCTACATTCAAGGAATTGCTGTGTTATATATGTGTGCGATGTTATATTGAGTTTCTGGCGTTTGAGAATTTAAAGAGAAAAAAGGATTTTTTTTTTCGTTTTGGGAAAGTGTTTATTATGCTATGTCTATTGTTCAGTATGGCTTATTGTTAATAATTTGTAAGAGTATTGTTATGAAGGGGGATAAAAAAAAAGAAGAAAAATATAATATAAAATTAATGTCCGTATGTATTGATAAGTATGCTGTTTACGAAGTAACCCTATGTAGTAGGGCAGCATTACTTTTAATAAAGTATTTTTCTATAAATAATTAGGTATTAAAGTTAATTCCAAAATATTGTCATATAACTTTTTAGAAAACTAAATTAGTGAATAATTCTATAGATCTTCTCTTTGTGATATTCCTCTACCATTTCATTGTACTTGTGTGAAAAAAGAAGTGAAATACAAAAATATTTCATAGATACGTTTATAACCCTAAATATATTTACTGTAGTTACATAACTCTAGATCTCATAATATATTTAAATATTTAGATATCTATCGTCCGTTTATTCCGAAAAATCATCATGTAACCTTTTAGAAAATTAAATTAGTGAATAGTTTGATAATTCTTCTTTTTGCGATATTCCAACAGAATCCACTTACAATTAGTGTGACAACTTTTGACCTGTCTATGAAAGACACTGCAAATCTCTTAATTCTGTTTTAATAAACTTTGCAATGGAAAATAACAGTTTAATGACTTATAGTCGTACAATCCATAATCAACGAATCGTACAATCCATAATCAACCGGTGATATAATAAATAGGACTTTTGTTATTTTAATAGAATTTGTGTTTTGTTAGCTTTAGCTCAGTTTAAAATGCAATTTAAAACATTTTATAATAGCCTAACATGGCCAGAAAATAATTTTTATTCAAAGTTCAAAGAGTAAGTGAAAGTTGTGTGTTGCGAGAACCAGATTTTTGAACATGGTTTAGTTTTATTTTATGTTTATTTAGTTAATTTTGTAAACATTATGAGAGAACAGTGAAGGTTAAGGTTAACCTTGTGATTTTCACGAAGGTTTAATCTGGCCAAAAGGAAACGTTTACAGACGTTGGCGGAGCACTAAGGAAAGTTCATATTAAAGTCTTACTTTTGAAGATACGAAATTTATAAGTTTTTCGAACTTAGATTAGATTTTGAATACTAAATATTTCCTTCTACTGTTGTTTACCCATAATTTCAAACTATAAAGTTGTTAATTTTGGATTGCGTAAGATGGCTGATGAAATTGCATCGGCAATGGAGCAGGAAATGGTGGAAAAACCGGCTGTAAAGTACCCAAGGCCTTCAGCAAAGAGGCAAAGGAAAGAATCTCCTGACGCCCGAGAAGAAACAGATAAAGAACGTGTAGACGATAGCCTTCTGCAAGATGCTCGTAGAATAAAAGAAAACATCAGGGTCTACATGAACGCAACATACAGGAATGTTAAAAAACACGTTAATGGAAAAATTCAACAATTACTAGATATAATGGAGACAATAAATGATAAAAAACATGAAAAAACTTTGTTAGTACAACGCGTGGTTAGGGACACATTAGCATCCTCTGAAATCTATGATATCATAGTAAAAGCGTTAGTGGAAAAAGCAGTGCCTATGGTTATCAAGGGAATCAAGACGGAATGTAAAATCATACAAAGACCACTTTCAGAAACTCAGACATCTCGGGAGCTTCCATGCGTTAGAGAACAACCGCAATTGGTCGATGCCCTAATTGAGACCACGGAGAACGAAACTTTTCAAGAAGTAAAGAAAAAGAAAAAGAGGAAAAAGGCTCTTCCAGAAGCGGCCAAAGAGGTTGAAGTCTCTAAACCTATAGCAGAGGAAAGTTTGGCCAAGATAATGTCCATAAATAAGACTACAATGGCCAATATTATCAAAAGGCTTCCATTAAAACCGATGGATACTGCAAGACTAACTTATGTAACCATCGCTTCTCAAGGAAAAAGTGCAGCTGACATCAACAACCTGCCTTCTCCAACTGAACTAGGAGTCAAGGCGCGGGTTGTACAGACGACCAAAGCCGGCTCTGTTTTAGTTTGTGTAGATGAGGATGCCCATGCGAAAAAAATAATTGAGTGGAAAAAACTAAAAGAAGCTGGAATGGAGGCAAAACTAGCCTTAAAAGGAAAACAAAAACTCGAGGTCAAAGGAGTTCCCCTTTCGTGGACTGCGGAAAATCTAGAAAGGGTGCTCTGGGAAAGGCTGGATGCAAAATCGTTCGCTATTTGTGAGAACAAAGTAGGTAGTATAAAGCCATTGTTCTCATCAATGGCTAGAAATAAAATTACCAATAATTGGGGGTTAGAAGTACATCCAATGGTTAGGTATAATCTACTCAAGGAGGAGATAATTATAGGAGGTTGGTGGGCACTGACAACTTTAGATTACCCCGATGCTCCTCCGTGTATAAGGTGTCAGGACACACAAAAGCTACTTGTGAGGCAAATGGTATAGTATGCAAGTGGTGTGCGGCAAGTGGGCATATTGCTAAAAACTATCCTGCAAAAGGAAATAAGACCTCACCTAAATGCGTTAACTGCGTGAGGGAAGGCGTTCAAACAAGTAAGACTAAGCACTAGGCAGGAAGTCGGTGCACATCAAGGATCCCAAGAATTTGTGAGGGGAACTCACTATGATTAGACTCAACATCCTGCAGTTGAATATGGGCCGCCGGCATATTGTGGCTGACGGGCTATGGCACAACGCTACGATATCAAGGCGGTCCAGCTGCCGTGGGAACAGGATCACGAGGTTTGGCCTCACATCAAGAGTTATAGCCCTGAGCAGTGGAGAGAGGAGGCCCAGGTCTGCCATAGTGATTAATAATTCTAACCTTGACGTGATTGATCTGAGACAACACACCATGGCGGATTATGCATCTTGCTATGTTAAGTGGGGCAATATTTCCTTCACATTGGTATCGCCATACTTACCTGCGAATAGTGATGTAGAATGGAGAATAGTGTGCGCTATGAAGGCGATCATTAGAGAGATGAGGAATGTGATCATGTGCTCAAATACCAACTCCTGTAACATAGTCTGCGGGACCAATATTACTGACAGGCGAGGTGCTAAAATGGAAGATTTCATATCAAGAAATCACCTTGTTGTGATGAACGAACCCTCTGCCACCCCCACCTTCTCTGGAGGCATCGGCCAGAGTTGGATTGACGTCACGATCGCCACGCCTGTGGTTACGAGGTGTATTGCTGATTGGACTCTCAGATCTGATACGAGTTCCAACCACATTGCGATAGCAATCGGTCCGGCAGATGAGCCAGGATGTTCCCACGGCATTGATAATGGTTTTGTCACTAAAATTAATGACTGGAGTGTCTTCAGGTCCTGTCTGGAGGGAGTGATTGCAGACGAGGAGTGGGAAGCGGCAGAGATGAATGTAGTCGACAATCTGGACTACAAGGTGTCCAGGATTATTAACAACATTCGTGATGCTGTCGAACACTCCCTCAAGCACCGGAAGGCGAGAGTTCGACCTGTCCCATGGTGGACGCCTTAACAGGTCTAAAAAGAGACATCTACAAGGTCCAGTGGTCATATGAGAGGTGCAGATGCGACGAGAGGCGCACTGTACTTCACAATGAGTACAGTGCAAGTCAAAAGCCAGGATATATCGCAACGCGGTTCGCTCACAGAAGCGGAATTCTTGGGACGATTTCATCGTCGAAGAGTCTTTGAAGAATCCCTGGGGTATTCCGTACAGGGTGGGGAGGAACCGCTGATGGCCTGCTGAGAGTGAGCAGAGATGTTGAGGAGAGGGCGGAGCGGTATGCCATGTTGCTCCTTTTCGAAATATCCTCAGCCGTCGACAGCGTATGGTGGCGTAGCGTGCTTCAGCACCTGCAGAGGTACGATGCTCCCAGGAACTTATACACACTAGTAAGAAGTTACCTCCAGGACAGAAGTGTGAAGATTAGACGCAATAACTACAAGGTAGAGGCTCCCATAGTGAGAGGTAGCCCTCAGGGATCAGTGCTTGGTCCTGCTCTATGGAAGCTTGTCTTTGATGAGTTACTGGGAGTGTTAGAGGAAGAGCGGTTTCCTGCCAATGCTTACGTTGACGAACTAGCTGCTGTGGTGGCCTCCAACAGCAGAGCTCGAGTCAAAAGAGAAGCAGAGCGATGCGCCGGCTTAGTCGCTAGATGGTGTGAGAGGAAGAAGATGAGGATGGCAGCTGCCAAGACTCAAGCCATATTCCTTAAGAGAAAGACTGATGGGACACACCCTATAACGATGTACATAGAATGACAGAGGATACTTCCAAGTGAGGTGGTAACATATCTAGGAGTTAGGTTTAGGTGTAGGCCTGAATATGACGCCTCATTTGGAATATCTGGCAGGTAGGGTGGCCCTATTGGGCGGAGTGGCCGAATGGGTTAAAGCGTGTGTACTGCACCGCCGTTGCCCTGCAACCTGACATATCAATCAAAGATATAAAAATAGTCACGAGTTCGCGTCCCGGTGCCGAGGGAGGCTTTTAAATCCCCGCCCACACTCCCTGGCCCGAGAAAATCCCGTATAGCCTTAACGGCGAAAAAGGGAAGGACCCAAAAAAAAAAAAAAAAAAGTAGGGTGGCCCTAGCAATGAACGGTCTAAGTCGTGTGGGGGTGCATTTTGGGGCTTGAGGTATCCAGCCACTATCACTATTTATAAGGGTGTTGTGGAGGGTATCCTGAGGTATGCGTCTCCCTTCTGGTTCTGAAAGCTCATACTCAGACAAAGAAATAGGCTATCATCGAATCTCAGAGGACTGCTCTACTTCGGGTCACCAGAGCATATAGGTCTATGTCGCATGAAGCAGTGCAAGTCTTAGCGGAGGTGGAGCCTCTCGATCTCCTCCGGCGAGAAGAAGTGACCAGGTACGATTACAAAAGGGAGGGCTCAACAGGTCTATCGGAGAACCTACGGATGAGAATTATTGAAAACCCAAATAAATGGAAAAAAATTATCCGGGAGGAAACAATTGAAGATTGGAGCAGACGGTGGGTGACGACTCCGAAAGGCAGTACCTTAAGAAAATACTTCCCCACCGTTGAATCTAGGTTACAGGCGAAATGGGTCCTCCCGGACTATTGGATTCCACAATTTCTCACGGGGCATGTTTCAGAGCTAAACTTCATGGCTTCGGACAGGATATAGATTCCCCCTGCCCCGCTTATGGTGTTCCGGAGACTGTTGGCAATGTGGTCACGGCTTGCACTGCTTTCGACAAATTAAGATCTAGGTTAATGAGAACCACGGGAATTTACGTCCTCACAGTGGAGGAGTTTCCGCAGTTGGTGAGTGAAGAAAACTTTCAGCGGTTCAAAGAATTTATAAATGGCTGGAAGACGGCGGTGGGCCCAGCTCACTTCAACTTAGGTGCGCGCAGAAGGAGAAGAGGACCAGTTCCAGGAAGAGCTTCGGATTTGGGAAGCTAGGCATAATTTTCTGAAGAATGAGGAAAAGTAGAAGAGCTAGCTGTGTGCACAGCTAAGAATTTTGTAAACCGATATTATAACAGTAGTGTATTATTAGGCATTAATGGTTAACATCACACTACTGCATACACCCATGTTGCCTTGGTGGCATGGGAGGGTGGAAAACAAATAAAATAAAAAAATGATCTACGATTTTTATAATTCTATCTTAGCTCTGTTTTATAGTAAAGGTGAGCAATAAAATATCTTGGGGGGAGGGGAGGAGGTAGCTTCTTGCGCCATCAATCTTAGGGGAGATAGGTACCCTTGAGAGCAACATGTTTTTCTAATTCTACACAAAAAACCAATTCTGGTGGTATATAGCCAAAAATGTTATGCAGAACAAAGGTGGAAAACTATAATATAAAAATTGGTAAGAGAATTTTAGGAAAAGGATCTAATATTTTTCAATCTAATATAAAAAAAAAAGTTTTATTCCACGTCCATTGGCTAAGTTAGCATATCTACTAATGAATTTTAAATTGATACATTAAAAATATTTTAAATTACTCATTTGAACATATTTAAAATAACTATTTTTATTTATAAATAGTTTTTTATAAACTTACTTTGAAAAAACAAATAAGGAAAATTAGTTTTTATAAAAATCATTAATGTAATACCTGATCCTAGATGTAAGTTAATGAAAAAGTTGTAAGAAGCAAATAAGTTTATAGCTGGTCGCAATAGCGCGACATTAGATGACCTGGAGTTCTGCCAAAGCTTTGATTATAAAGCATATCTCTTAGTAATTAAGAGCATAGCCCTCCAGTTGTTCTGCCTCTGTTAGTCTTAATCAGATCTCAAATTATTCAGCACAGGAATTTGACTTAGGATCTCGATAGATAAGCGGTTAGCTCTGCTAGAAGATTTAGAGTTCCTCTCACAACCATCTTTGTCAGTCTGTTTTTTTTATACTGTCCCACTGCTACTGAATAAGAAAAGTATTTTAATCGGGTAAAATGTTCGGTATACAGTTTTAACAGAAATATGTAAGTCTATGTGTTAGTGCCATGATAATTTCTTCAGCAGGTAGGCTGGTAGGAATTCGGTACCTTCTTTCTCACCCTCACGACGAACACGCATTGGATTAGGCGAAGCGTATCAGGGAAGATACGTTCTCTCATTCGCCAACGAAAGTAAAAGATGAGATTTGATGAAATGACTGTCTTCCTTACAATTTTAAACTAAACTCACGTCTACTAAGTAGTGAGCTTCTCATACTCGTGATGTCTAAAACGTAAAAACGTCTGGTGCGAGCAGCACACGACTTTCACTTGCCACCCTCTCCTTAGGAATAAGTATTTTCAGACAAAGGGTAAGTGAAAATAAAAATTATAGACGCTAGATTTCATTGTGGGTATTTTTATTCGTTTAAGTATCCTTACGTATAAAAATTTTAATTTTTAAACAACTGTAAATTACTATATTACAGCCTCTAATTTATACAATTAAATATTAAATAATACGAACAAAGGCATTAATGAAAACCTGATAAACAATATGTACATGCACAAAATTTTGTCGAAGTCCGTATTATATTAAGCTCATGTAACGTATGGTCCATACGTAAAGGATGCCTGTTCTAAGCTTCGATACTATTCATTTAGTTCTTCCATTACAACTATTATCCGTTACGATCTCTTATTTCTCCGTTAGAAAATTGTCAAATTCTTTCTTATTTTCTATCTAATTCATAGATAAAAAAAAATTGTATTTATTAAAAAAATATTTCACACCAATCAGGTATTAAAGTGAAATGGTTAATTATTTAAAATAAAAAAATAAAGTTACTTTAGAGGAAGTTACTATTGAAAGCTAATATTGAAAATTAGCTTGGCGTTAAATTAAATTAAATTAAATTAAATTAAATTGGCGTTATTATTTTAGAAAGTAACGTGAGCGCACCGGTAATGCATTATCTTCTAGATTTTGTTCGATTTCCGTCTGCCATTTGTTTGGTTAAACGCCTATAAACTGTCAAGATAGGATAGCCTATAAGGTACCTCTATTGGGTATGGGTAGCGTCGCTGACAAGGCTGTACGATGGCCATGGATCCATGCTATAATATGCCGAGGTATATTCAAACAATTAGTGATCAACGTCACTAAACAAAGACTTAAATAATAATTAATACAAATAAACTTATTCTAAATAATCCCTCATCCCTTTCTTTAAATACACCCTGTGCAGTAAAAGGAATCCGTTTCCTAAATCCCCCTCTTCCTCCTTCCCTGCATTCAACCTCACATGAGTCTAAAAATAAAATAATAAAGCAAAACGAAAAACGCGAGGAAATTTTCGAATCTAAGAACCAAAGTTATTGAGCAAGCAAAAACAGGACAAGATTCAGTAAATGATTTTTGTATTGAACTAAGAATGAATAAAAAAATTTGTTAAAACGACAATCCGAAAATGGGTATATGTATGGGTATTTAGTTTATTTTTGGATTAACTGCATTTTAAATAAGAGAGAAAAATCGATAGATATTTTATTAACAGACTTTTTTTTTCATACATAAAGGAACATTTATGAAACTTTAAAAGCGAATCTACATTTTAACTTCATGAATTGAAACAAACAAGGATCTGGAATTCTACCATGTTTAATTTTTAAATGCGGGAAAGCTAATAAAATTTTCATTCCTATTTGGCCAATTACCATCGGAATTCCGCAATGCGTGAGTCTTTAGCAGTGAACTCTTCCTAAAATATTATTGTTGGGATATTGTAGATATTATTCAAAATTTTTGTCACGCATCTCTAAAGAAGTTACCTATTTCCACGCAAACAAAACAGAAAAAATTCAATCCATTTTTTTTTTTTTTTTTTTTTTTTTTTTTTTTTTTTTTTTTTTTTTTTGTCCTTCCCTACCTCGCCTTTTAGGCTATATCAATATATTTATATCATCTCAAATCTGTTATCCGGTTGCCAGGCACAACTAGCGGTGCAGTTACACACGCTTTAGCCTATTCGGCCACCCCGCCCCCTATTAATAAGGCTTCAAAGTTGTTATCGTTTTTTTTTTTTTGTTTTTTTTTTTATTGCCATCGGGTCTAATTCTTAGGGTAAGGATTCCAAAGGATCTATAGGTTTCAGAGCCCCCCAAGTCCTAAAAATGTATTTTCTGTCATTGATAATGGGTTTCCATGAAATACGAGGAGTCAAAAATTTGAACTCCTCATAATTCCCTTATAATGCGAACCATCTATACAGTACAAGAGATCTCAACTACAAAAATTAAAATTTTGAAAATTCAATAACCCATCATGAAAAAAAAAAATAATAAAAAAGCTGAATATTACAGATGTTTTGTTGAAAAATGGTTAAATTGTGTATAAAGGAAAATTTTGAATTAATAGGAGTTTAATAAAAATTAAATAACAATGAATTCTTAGGATTAATAGCAGTGAATATACATCAAACACTGTTTGAGTATGACTTAACATCTTAAGTATAAGTAAACATTATGTTTAGTTTTCTTACAGTTTTAGAAAAGACTGTCGAAAGACTGAAAAAGAAATTAACTGTTCAAAACTTAATATGCCATAAAGTTGTTGCTTTGAACATTAAAAGCTTTGATATTAATAAGTGTTTGATTTAGATGGTTTATATTTAATTGACATATTTATAGTGGTTTAAATCCGTCTGTAATCGATAGGACAATCGTATGAGTGGACACAGATTTTTTTACATGCTTTGATATATGAAAGTATTATTATTGATATTTGATTCATAGTATTTTACTATATTTAGTATCGTTAGTTGGAGATACGAATCCTTACCTTACATGCGAAAATAATCTTTATTATTGAAATCTTAGTTATTATTTGTATGTACATATTGTGTGAATGAATCATGTAGCCTTAATATTAATGCCCTTTAATGTGGCAGAATGTATTAATGTTCAATAAAGAAAGTAAGAAGTGACAAAGCTATAAGGGCGAAGTGTCTGATTGGAGTAACTCGAGTAGCAATTTTGGTTATTGGGCTGTGGTGATGCTTTTAGGTGCCATCAGGGCAATTAGGAATCAACAGATACCCGGGAACTAATTTTGATTCCATTTCTTATAGGCCTATAGCAAGAATTCTTTTGGTTACATTTAGGTTAGCAGTTAAAGTACTGAATGTACAATAGCGAGTTTAAATTTAATAATTTAATAACTCGGTTCTCGCAGATTATATATTTTTGTCGTTGCTATCTTTGATAGTGACGTGAGACCACTACCAAATTCCTCTGCTTGTTAAGCTTGCGCCCTTTAATATTGTTGGAGTCCACACTTATCCCTTGGGCCAAACCTCAGCAGTTACTCTCTCGAGTGAGGGCAGCGTCGCGCTGACAAGCGGACTTCCTTTCTTCCTTCATTCGTGATGGCGAAACAGAATGAGAACCTTCCTATGGAGATTCCAGAGCCTGAGGCCTCCGAAGATAAAAGTGGGAAGAGGATTCACGAAACTGGCAGCGAAGGCCTTGGATCGGATAATGAAGACTACGCCCCAGTAGCCAAACGCCACACGTTTCCCGCCCGTACCGTCCCGAAAAAGCCTTCCCAGATCCCAATGGCCAACAAATTTTCCGTGTTGAGAGTGAATCTACCAGAGAAAAACAGACTGCCGCCAATCATCATAGCACCTCCGATAGCCCAGGCAGCGCTGAAAAATATACTGATCGAGAATAATATAACATTATTCTCTATCAATTTATCATCAAAAGAAACTCGGTTGTATGTCAACTCCAAGAATGATCACGTTCAAGCCACTTTACTGTTGCGCCAGGACAATAGGGTACAATTCCACAGTTTTGCTCCCAGAGGCACTAAGCGATCTCGGAAATATGTGCTTCACGGATTCGATATTGATTTCCCCGTCGAGGAGATAGTTGAGGAGTTAAAAACCAGATTACCAGGATTCAGGCTCGCCCGAAGACTCACAAAGAGATACAACCCGAATGAACCACCACAACCTATCGAGCTGATCCAGATAATTACAGACAACTCGGTCAAGCTGACAGACATTGCTAAACTGTATCACATATCGCAGTGTAAATTCCGTGTGAGCATCTTTAAAGAAGATGGGGCCCCAGCACAGTGCCGAAATTGTCAAGAATATGGACACACTATGAAATATTGTGGCAGAACATGTGCGTGCCCCTTGGGGTGGAGGTATCCATACCCTTGAATAGTGCCCGAAGACAGTACCTCCCTGGTGTAAAAACTGTAAAGGTGCCCACCCCACCTCCTCCAAAGAATGGAACACCGACCAAAACGAATACCAGCAAACAGAGTAAGTGGGTCCAGGACGGTCTGTCATACAGCACAGCAAGCGGAGGAGCGCCGGTCCTCAGAAGGAACCTTTCCTCACCAGCAGTCTCATCCCCACCACCAGCACGCCACTCAATTCAAGGAACAGACTCCACCAACGCAATCGCCTCAGCCTTCAACAAGTACCGATGCCTCTCTGACGAGCTGATAGATATAGTTTCCCGAATGCTAGATGCTATGACGAAGAAGCATCATGATTAATCATCCCGTCATGAATTTCAACACCAGAGACCACTTCCAGAAGTAGGCTGAAATCGAGCTCCTTCTTCAGCAGCATAGACCCTTCAGTGGTGACGCTGACAGACACCATGCTTTACACCTCGATTCGTCCATACTTCCAGGGGTACACTATATACCGAGAGGTGTGTGCAACAGAGCCTCGAGAGGGAATAGCCATCCTGGTCATAAAGGGTGTAATTTCGAGATCCGTCCCGAACCCAGGGGAACCAACCGAGGAAACTCACTTACTCACAGTTGACGTGCGACTTAAGAGTCGGTTCACATTCATCTGTGTCTATAGGAGACCCAGGGCTAGACTGACATCTGTTAAGCTGCTGCTACAACATGCCCAGGTGACGGGTCGGCATGTAGTCCTTGGGGACTTCAATGCTCGACACACTTCCTGGCTGTGTGGTAACGACAATCCACTGGGGAAGTACATCACCAAGACTAGGTTGGCCGTCTTTCACCCAGGTGTACACACTTTCCGGCATTCAGCTCGACCTGATTGGACATCAACGCTGAACCTGCTATTAACCAGGGATCTGCACACCATTACGGATTGCCAAGCGCTTCCGTATGGACCGTCGGATCGCCGGCCTGTGCTTTACACGATCGAGGGCACACCCGCCAAACCACCGGCGAGTAAATACTTGCTATAAAATATAGTATATATATTATAAAATACAGTAAATACTTGCTCCACAAGGCCGACTGGAAAGGATACAGGTCTAGCGTTGAATCCACTTTACCGGCGGTAACGCCGTGCCAGACAGTAAAAGTGGTAAACGAGGCGGTGGATGTCATCACCACCACTGTCCAGGACTCAGCCAACCAGAACATCCCTAGGTTCGCTTCGCAGCCCAACGAAATCAGGAGACCACCACGTCACATCCTCGCCCTGATCAGTCAGAGGAACAACCTGAGGAACATATTTCAGCGCACGCGTGACTACAGCTTGAAACCGGCCATCAATGCGATGACCCGGCAGATAGCCAGCCTCATGCGAGACTGGAAGAACTCACTCTGGCATGACCAGCTCCGGAGGACTCATGATGAACACCGCCAGTTCTGGAGACTGGTCCGAACGTTCGTTAACAAGAAGAGGACTGTCCACCTGACGTCAGGGAATGAGCTGCTGACACCTAAGGAACAGGCTGAACTCCTGGCCAAAAGCTATGAAGCGAGGGATGCTGAGCGGACGAGAAATGCACCACCAATACCGGAAGGACCACTGCCCTGTCCCAATGATGAATCCGTCTTCTCTACCTTCAACCAGCTGTAGTCGACACTACGACGCACCATAGGAAACAAAGCGTCTGGACTGGATGAAGTTCCGTACGTACTGCTGAAGATGCTCCCTAGGAAGGGTAAAGCCTTTCTACTGAACATATTCAACTCATGTCTTCGAATCTCATACTTTACTACCGCATGGAAACAAGCGATCGTTGTACCGTTACTCAAGCCGGCGAAGAACGGGGACTCAGCTGAACACAATCGTCCGATTAGCCTCCTCTCGCACATCAGCAAGATTTTCGAGAGGCTAATCCACCATCAGCTTATGAAGCACTGCTGGAAAGAGAGCATCATACCACCAGAGCAGACTGGTTTCCAGAGAGGGGTCGCGTGTGAACACCACCTAGCTAAACTTCAGGCCCACATAATAGATGAAATGAGTCTCAACAGAGCTATGGCGCTCATCTCTTTGGACTGCAGCCAGGCCTTTGACTGCGTGTCACACACGCATCTACTTCGCCGTCTGGAAGAGTTCAGGTTTCCTACCACTCTATGCCGACTGATCTGAAGCTACCTCAGCGGAAGATCTCTCGTCGTACGAGTTGGTACAGACCACTCAAACCCAGTCGATACCACCTCAAGGTTCTGTGTTGGGGCCAATACTGTTCGTCGTTTTCACGGCGCCAGTGGTGGCACTCAATCATCCAAAGGCGGTGGTAGCAGCCTATGCGGACGACATTGGCATATATGCTTCCAGCATCAACGCGGAGACTGCACTCACTCTGGCACAGAATGCTTCAGCCACATTGTTGAAGAACTAGAAGAGATCGGTATCAAAGTGAATCCTGCGAAGACTGATGCTATTGCCATGTCGTTCCAGAAGGGAAAGAAGCATCTACCCACACAATTCACCGTTGGAGGAGCTTATCATAAAATCTCTACCTCGATTGTCTACCTCGGCGTCACGCTGAATAGACATTTGACCTTCTCCAATCACGTTAGGCAGAAGATCAAGCTGGCACGAAAGAAGTCACACCGGCTCTACCACCTATTGACGTCGCCGCAGCTCTCGCTGAGACTCAAGCTCCAAATTTATAAAGCTATTATAAGACCTACACTGCTCCACAGGGCACTCAGACCTGGGAGGTGGCAAGGTAAACTCCTTTTGGTGGACATACTCGCCGAAGGATGTGATCTGGTCTCTGCGGTCCAAACTCATTGTAAATAATAAATGTGTATATATTGTAAATAATAAAAAATTAGCAGAACGGTCCTTCCCCGTTCAATGAAAGTCACAAGGCCTTCTACCACGTATGTAACCCTAAGATATCGCCAATCCTTAAAATGCCTTCGAGCATTGGAAGGAATTTGTTACATGTATATATTATATTATTATCTATATATGTAAATTGTTTCAATAAACATTTTGGAGGGTAAGAAAAAAAAAATCTTTTGGTTACAAAAATTTCCAATCGTTATTTTTCAGCTTAATTCCTTTCATACTAAACGAAAGCTGAAGTCCTAGGGATGATACCTCGGTGTTCACAAAACATTTATAAATCGAGGGACCCTTTACTGATAGCTCTGGCTTATTGATATATGTTATACTACCGCAGTTTTTTTTTTTTTTTTTTTTTTTTTGTCATTTTTTTCTGCAGTGATATTTACAACGGAATATTTTTTTTGTTGGATTATATTCATCAATACAAAAAATCATTAAGTGCATCAAAATAAAACAACCCATATTATGCGTCAAAGATAATTATCATAAGTGCATAATGTTTTTAATTCACACAGGAAAAATTCTCCAAATTATTTAATTGTGATTGTGATTTTATAAAACATTACTTTTACAGAGCGTCCAGCGATTCTTCTCTAAAAAATTTTCGGTTTTCCCGGTCGCTGAACATCCTGTTTTATTTATTTATTATTTATGAATTTCCGCAATAAACCGGAATCTTCTCTTTAAGAACTAGAAACGCATTTCTAATAAAAAGGGGAAGTGTGAAAAGGGGAAGGCTTGAACCGGAGATCTTGAGTTAAAGAATTTTGTTATATAGTATAAAAGTATGTGTGTATTTAAATAGTTATTTTGATTTGTTTAGTTTAGTTTATATACCATTACTATTATTTTGCTATTTATTTATTGTACATAATGTGAATGAGTTACTCTCACATCACTATTACCACTTTCCTTAGATGTGGAAGATTGTAATATATCTCAATAGAGAATTTTCGATTGTTGCCTATGGCTACAAAAAAAAAGATATTGAACGTGCCATAGACCATAACTTCTAAATAATCCAATATATTATTTCTAAAAGGTGTTTTTTTGTCGGTACGCCATAACATCGTCAATTAT